AAAAAAAAAAAAAAGAAAGAAATATACAAGGAAGAATAATACATAAATGTTTTATTTTCTATGAAAGCAAAAAAGTATGCAGCTAAAAATGGGGAGACGGATGGAGAGAAAAAAGGGAAATAATGGGAATGCAGAACAATTTATTCATTGAATAGGAAATGGATAGAAACCAAAAAATACCACTTAAAACCAACACACCTGACAGTAAAAGGTTAAATAAGAAAATAGGAAATTAAAGGCTATATAAAAGATAGAGCCGAACAGGTTTGGTTCAGTGGATAGAGCTTCGGACTGCGGACTGAAGGGTCAAAGGTTCGATTCCGGTCAAGGACATGTATCTTGGTTGCGGGCACATCCCCACTGGGGGGCGTGCAGGAGGCAACTGATCGATCTCTCTCATCGATGTTTCTAACTCTCTATCCCACTCCCTTCTTCTCTATAAAAAAATCAATAAAATATATATATTTTTTTAAAAAAGATAGATACAAAAAAGGAACCAACTAGAACAAAATTACAAACTTCCTAAATACCAAAAGAAATATTAAAAAGAACGTAGAGAAAGAAAACTATAATTACACTATAATGACAAAGTTGACATCAAACATAACTGTATCAGTAAGTACTTCAGGAAACTTCACCAATTAAAAAAAAAGATTTTCATATTGGCTAACAAGTCAAGGCCCAATTCTATGCTGACTACAAGGGACCCACCTAACATACAATAATTCAGAAAGGCTAAATATAAGAGGATAAGCAAAGATGAACTGGCAATTTAGAAATAAGATGAAGGCAGAAGTTTCATTCCTGATATTACATGAAGTAGAACTGAAGCCAAAAAGCATTCAGTGTGACAAAGAACACTTTCAAATGCTAAATTCCATATTTCACAATGAAGATACAATATTTATGGAGATCCATGTACCGAAACATGCAACAAGCACCTTTATAAAAATGGAGGTATTTGACTCTAAGAAGAAATATAAACATCAAATAGAAACATAATATTAGCAAAAGACTTTAATACATTACTCTCAGTATAAGATTTGATAAAAATAAACAGGGATACAGAAGAAGTTAACAATATAATCAATGAGGTAGATCTTGTGGCTATACATTTAGAACTTTATACCTTGTTAATAGAGAACACACCTTCTTCTCAAGCACACACACAGAACATTCAAAAAATTTGATCTATTAGGTCACAAAGAAAACATCATTAAGTTCCACAAGTAAAAATATTACAAACTCTGAATGTAATGAAATAAAACTAGAAGTAATAAACCAAAAAAACAAAGAGGCTTTTCTATCTGGAAATATTTTTAAAATATATTAAATAACTCTTAGGTAAAAGGGGAAAATCTAAAGTTAAATTACCTAATTTCTAAAATAACAAAACACTATATATTAGAATATATGGTACACATTTAAAGTAGTGATCAGAGGAAAATTCAGAACCTGAAATAGATCTGTCAATTAAGAATAAAAGAATGAAAATC